AACATCCCAGAGCAGGGAATAAAATAAGGAATCCTTATGGGTGAACTATCCTTATTGAGAAACCAGAGCAAAAGAAGAAACGTTTGCCCCCCAAAAATATATATATTATAGATTGTGATGTGTTTCTACACTACTAAAATTGAGTGTTCCTTGGATTGTTTGGTTGTTTGGTTTTGGTGGGTTTTTTTAATGTGAAAGAAAGGAATTCTGGAAAATGAGAACCATAGGAATCCTTATGGGTGAACTATCCTTATTGAGAAACCAGAGCAAAAGAAGAAACGTTTGCCCCCCAAAAATATATATATTATAGATTGCGATGTGTTTCTACACTACTAAAATCGAGTGTTCCTTGGATTGTTTGGTTTTGGTTTTTTTTTTTTTTTTAATGTGAAAGGAAAACAAAGAAAGGAATTCTGGAAAATGAGAACCATAGAACAGCCCAGGTGGGAAGGGACCTGGAAAGATCATCTGGTTCAACTTCTCAAGGAAAAGGGAGCTGAGATGAGATTCTCCAACACCCTCTCCAGCCACACCTTGAAACCCTCCAGCCACAGGGACTCCATCATGTCCCTGAGGAGTTTGTTCCAGTGATTGACTGTTCTCACTGTAAAAAATGTCTTTCTTACACCAAAACAAAGAAAGGAATTCTGGAAAATGAGAACCATAGAACAGCCCAGGTGGGAAGGGACCTAGAAAGATCATCTGGTTCAACTTCTCAAGGAAAAGGGAGCTGAGATGAGATTCTCCAACACCCTCTCCAGCCACACCTTGAAACCCTCCAGCCACAGGGACTCCATCATGTCCCTGAGGAGTTTGTTCCAGTGATTGACTGTTCTCACTGTAAAAAATGTCTTTCTTACACCAAAACGAAACCTCTCCCGGTGCAACTTGCACCCATTGCCCCTTGTCTTCTCCATGGAGCTCCTTGTGGAAACGAAACCTCTCCTGGTGCAACTTGCACCCACTGCCCCTTGTCTTCTCCATGGAGCTCCTTGTGAAGAGAGACCCTCCATCCTCTTCCCAGATGGAAAACCGTGATGAGGTCCCCCCTGAGTCTCCATTTCTCCAGGGAGAAGAGTCCTGATTCCTTCAGCCTTTTCTCTTAGGGCAGGTTCTCCAGCCCTTTGACCACCTCCTTTGGACCATTCTCCAGTCTGTCCACGTCTTTCTTGACCTGAGGGGACCACAACTGGACACCGCACGCCATGGACAACCTGACAAGAGCTGAGTAGATCAGGATGATCCCATCTCTCTCTCTTCTGGTACTGTCCCTGCAGATGCAGCCCAGGATATGATTTGGCTTCATGCTTGCCCCTCCACGTGACACAAAAGGGGTTCAGCATATTTAGGTTTTCTGTTTTATTTTTTTTTAAATATATATTCGAAACTCTGAACCTCTCCATACAAAAATAAAACCCTACTGTGACTGGTACACTGGGAAAATTATAGCTCAAGACAAGAGCATAAATGCTGAGCATGCGAAAGGCAAAGATATATTTAGGTTTCCAGATTGTTTCTGCTCACTTAACCCCCAGAGTCTGATGAAAACACTGGAAACATTTAAACGTGGACAGGAAGATTTCCGAGGAGAAGAACAAACCACACGCCACCTATATTTGACATTTTTGATCTTTCTAAAGCTATACAAACACCTAAAAATAGTTCCTTCCCTTATCCAACATACAATTTTACCCATCACGGGGCAGCAAAAACACAAATGGCTTGTTTTGGTTTGAGCTGTTAAGCCGTCGACGGGGACTCTTTTGTAGAGGCTGCTTGAGAAATGCCCCTATTGAGAAACCCTCGATAGAAACGCTCCGCTTGAGAAAGCAAACAGAGCAGCACAACCCTGGCACCAGCTCTCACTACCCACCTCTTCCCTTTCGTAATCATTTCCCTATGCAAACGAGGTTCTTCAGAGTGGAAAAGGTGACAGAAGTTTAAAATCTTTCCTACAAGTAGGTGGAAGAGGAGAAGGTGGTGACAAAAAGCAGCCCCTAAATCAACGGACCTCCTTCAAACGACGCAGGGCTCGACAGGAGCACAAGAGCTCTGCAGGGAGGGATGGATCGAACACATCCGATGCCAAAGCGTGCTACGAGCTCTTTGCATGATTTTATAACAGTAATTACTTATTAAAACTGGATTAAACGCAGGCAGCACGCTTTATGGAAAGAGCCTAGAGCGTTGAATGGAGGGGGGGGGCAATGAAGGAACGCCTCCTGAAAAATTTGGAAGAGAATCAGGAGGTATGAAAACAAACCCGCTTGGAGGAAATGGAAGGAAGAGGGGGAAAAAATATTCTTCTCTCTCTCTCTCTCTCAAGGATTATGCAAGGGCTGCTGCTGGAGCTCTATAAATAGGACGTTAACAGGTGTCAAATAGGGAGAAAACTCCAGCAATCGACTCAAATGGGATTTTTCCATCAGGTAGTTTTTTTAGTAAGATGGATATTAAGCTTTGGGTTTGTTTAGGTGAGACTTCAGTGCTAAGGCTGAGCTGAATGGGGGCAGTTTGTCCCCAGGGATGCAGCGTCTGCCCCATCTCAAGTGGTGGAGGGAAGGATTCCATATCAGGACACGATCCATAGCCTAAAGCAGGATAGTTACAACCACATCAGGAGGATGCACTGGTGGTTGGCTCAAGCCAACGATTAAAATTCAGGAACGTGAAGATAATCATAAAAATGGACCTTTTCACAGAAGGAAGGAAACACGTTCGAGAATTTGCCCAAAAATAGAAGCTGTGGAGCCACTCAGCAAATTCACAGTGGCCTTGAATGAGGTTCGAAGGCGTCCCCGCTGCAGATCCAGATTGTGACAGGTTTCCCAGGGATGGAAGAACGGACCCTGGTCTGAAAAACCATTCCCAGCCACTGCTCTAGATATGCTCTAGATATTTTGTGTCCAGTTTTGGGCCCCCTACCATAAAAAAGACATTGAGGTGCTGGAGCGGGTCCAGAGAAGGGCAACAAAGATGGTGAGGGGTCTGGAGAATAAGTCTTATGAGGAGAGGCTGAGGGAACTGGGGTTATTCAGCCTGGAGAAGAGGAGGCTGAGGGGAGATCTTATTGCTCTCTACAACTCCCTGAAAGGAGGGTGTAGAGAGATGGGGGTCGGTCTCTTTTCTCAAGTCACAGGCGACAGGACGAGAGAAAATGGCCTCAAGTTACACCAGGGGAGGTTCAGGCTGGATATTAGGAAAAAATTTTTCACGGAAAGGGTTCTCAGCCCTTGGAATGGGCTGCCCAGGGAGGTGGTTGAGGCACCATCCCTGGAGGTGTTCAAAAGATGGGTTGATGTAGTGCTGGGAGGTATGGTTTAGTGATGATGCTCCTTGTTTGTTGTGTGGGTGTCTATTTTTGTCAGTTAGGTTGACAGTTGGACAAGATGATCTTTAAGGTCCCCTCCAACCTAGAAGATTCTGTGAACGCAGGCTCCTACCCCCGAGGCAGTGAGGGGCTTCACAGCCCCCACTGAGGGATCTGAGTGGTGGGACCAGGGGCAGCTGGGGTGGAAAAGGATGCCCTGAGTCTGTGGTACCCACCTTCTGGGTGGCAGCACCCCAACACTATGTAGCCCTTGAGGGCAGGGGGTGCTATGGAGATAAGGAGAGTGGGGGATACCTCAAACCAGCTGGGAAAACTTCCACGTCCCTCCCACTACCACAGACCTGTTGGGTTGGGGGTGATCCCCCCAGTTCTGCAATTGTGGGGCAACATCAGTCCCCTCCCCCTAATATCCTGGGGCTGTTGGGGTCAGATGACCCACACATTCACAGACTATGGGGTACACTCCCCCCCAGCATAACAACACTGCTAGAAGGAAAAGTGGAAAAGAAGAAAAAAGACCTTAGCCATGGCATAGAATTGGGCTGACACTTCATCCAAGGGCCCTCTGGTAGCCTGGACCTTCCATCCTAGGATGACCCCTCCCAGGACTGCGGGAGCCCCCACCCCAAAAACCTGATACATCAGAATTGGAGGTGGAGGGTGGGGGTGTCAAGGGCGGGCTGAGGGAGGAGGGAACCCGGAGGGTGGGGGTGTCAAGGGCAGGCTGAGGGAGAAAGGAACCAGACTCTTTTCAGTAGTTGTCAGTGAGAGGACAAGGGGCAATGGGCACAAGTTGGAACATCAAGGGCTCCACTTGAATATGAGGAAGAACTTTTTCACGGTGAGGGTGACGGAGCCCTGGAAGAGGCTGCCCAGGGAGGGTGTGGAGTCCCCTTCTTTGGAGATTTTCAAGACCTGCCTGGATGCTCCTGAGTAACATGCTCTGACAAGCTCTGGGTGGTCCTGCTTTAGCAGGGGAGTTGGACTAGATGATCTCTATGGTCCCTTCCAACTCTAAAAATTCAGTGAAATTCAGTGTCACTATGGGTTAGCCCACATGGATCCTGTGATCCAGGATCACAGGGTCACCGAGATCGAGCTGACCCCCCACCGGAGACCATGGGGTACCCTGTAGCCTCCACACCCCCTGTCCATGGAGACAAACCACCCCTATTGGGTATCCAAGCATCCTCCAACACACTGAGACCACCAGGATGGGGAGAGAAGAACCACCATCCCCCGGGGTTGCAGGAGGGGGGTGACTCCCCACCCCTGACACCGTGGGTACCCCTCAACACCCTGAGGCCGTTTGGAAAGGGGTGACCGCCCCCATCCACGACTGCGGACCCCCACGTCCCGGGACCGTTGGAACGGTGACATCCCGACCCTCCCCAACCACCCCCGGGCCTTAGGGACGGGGTGACCCCCCCCATGGCGGCTCAACGGGCTACCTCAAGCTCCTCTACATATCCCGGCGACGGGGGTGACCCCCTAGAGAGAACCACGGAGTATCTGTCCCCTCAGGGCGGCGGGGACGGGGGTGTCGCGATCCCCCACACCCCGAGGCCTTGGGGCCGGGGTCACCTCCCCCCCCCCAACCCCGAGAAGGAACCGGCCGCCCCTCAC